CCCGGTACAGCTGATCATCCAAGGTAGTCAGAGGTCGGTGGGCACAACCAGTTCTTGCAGCTGATCAGCCTGAGTAAATCCCTCCCATTAATGTGCCAACAGCAGTCAAGACTCAATTACAACAGAAGGGTATACAGTCCACACTAGGGGTGCACCTTGAGAGCCCAGATGGGGTGATCAGGGAGGCTGTGCCACTGAACCCTCCAGGGCACCTGCTACAACAGGCCACCCTAGGAAGCCTAGGAGACATAGCAGCTCTACCTAATACATAGGAACCAACACAAGGAGGCAGCCAAAATGAAGAGACAAACATGTCCCAAATGAAAGAACAGAACAAAACTATAGGAAAAGAACTAAACAAAATGGAGATAAGCAATCTAACAGATGCAGAGTTCAAAACACTGGTTATAAGGATGCTCAGGGAACTTAGTGAGGACTTCAAGAGCATAAAAAAGGACCAGTCAGAAATGAAGGAAGCACTAACTGAAATAAATAATAATTTGCAGGGAATCAATAGTAGAATAGGTAAGGCCAAGAAGCAAACCATTGCTATGGAATATAAGGAAGCAAAAAACACCCAATCAGAATAGCAAAAAGAAAAAAGAATTTTAAAAAATGAGGATAGTATAAGGAGCATCTGGGACAACTTCAAGTGTACCAACATTCTCATCATGGGGTTGCCAGAAGAAGAAGAGAGCAAGCAAAAAATTGAAAACCTATTTGAAAAAAATCATGACAGAAAACTTCCCTAACTTGGTGAAGGAAACAGACATGTAAGTCTAGGAAACACAGAGTGTCCCAAACAAGGTCCACACCAAGATACATCATCATCAAAATGCCAAACGTTAAAGACAAAGAGAATCTTAAAAGCAGCAAGAGAAAAGCAGTTAGTTACCTACAAGGGAGTTCCCATAAGACTGTCAGATGATTTCTCAAAAGAAACTTTACAGGCCAGAAAGGAGTGGCAAGGAATATTCAAAGTGATGAAAAGCAAGGACCTACAACCTCTATCCTGCAAAGCTATCATTTAGAATCGATGGACATATCAAGAGTTTCCCAGACAAGAAAAAGCTAAAGGAGTTCATCACCACCAAACCAGTATTATATGAAATGTTGAAGGGTCTCCTTGAAGAAGAAGAAGATCAAAAATATGAATGAATAATAAAATGGAAATAAATACATATCTATCAATGATTGACTCTACAAACAAAATGAGCAAGCAAAACAAACAGACTCATAGATACAGAGAACTTCTTGTTGGTTGCCAGATGGGAGGAGAGTTGGGGGGGTGGGCGAAAAAGATGAATGGATTAAGAAGTACAAAGCTGTTGTTAGACTGATGAACCTCAAAGGGAAAGCAGTAAGGGGGTGAAAAGAGATAAACCAAAGAACTTATATGCCTATATGCATAACCAATAGACACAGACAATAGTGGGGGGAAAGAGAAGGCAAGAGGGGGCAGGAGCAGGGAGGAGGGAGTCAATGGGGGAGAAAGAAAACTGATCAGAACTAACTCTACACGCTCATAGTGCCAGGAATAAAAAATTAAAAAAAAAAAAAACTCATTTGAATATTTCTCATTTTTACTTTTTTAAAAAAACAAATCTTGTTTGCCCAGCTGGTGTGACTCAGTGGTTGAGCATTAACCCATGCACCAGGAGGTCTCCAGTTTGATTCCCAGTCAGGACATATGCCCAGGTTGTGGGCCCGATCTCCACTGTGAGGCATGCAGGAGGCAGCCAATCAGTGTTCTCTCTCATTGATGTTTCTATCTCTTGCTCCCTCTCCTTTCTCTCTCTAAAATCAATAAATAAAAATTATTTTCAGAACTAATTAAATCTTATTTGACACAAAACTGAAATGCTACATTAAGAGCTCCCAAAGTACACAGCCATGTGTCACATAGAGCCTGAGATCTTAAAGACAGTTTTAGAGTAGAACCCTGCTTAATTGCAAAATAATATTCACTACCTTAAAAGGTCTTTACAATGTACTTTTGTTGTTGTTGTTCATCTTCACCTGGTTATTTCTTCATTAATTTTTAGATAGAGTGAAAGGAAGGGTGTTGGGGAGAGCAAGAGAGAGACATCGATGTGAGAGAGACACATCAATCAGTTGCCTCCCACACTACCCCAGCAGGGTAGGGGATGGAACCTGCAACCTAGGTATGTGCCCCTGACTGGGAATCGAACCCACCACCCTTTGGTCTGCTGGCCGACGCTCTAACCGCTGAACCAAACTGGCTACAATGTACTTTTACATGTATTATTTGACTTGGTCTTTATAACAACTCTATGAGGTAGTTGAGGAAGGTGGTGAAATCTCTCTTTTTCAAATAAGGACACTGAGGCTCAAATAGATGTACATGATTTTTCCAGGATCTCATGACTCTAGTGGACAAAGATGGAATTTAATTCTGGCTGTGGATTGAATGCCAAAGGTACACTGTGGTAATCTCATCTGACTAAAAGTACCTCCTCAGACATTCTAGAGTCTTGTATATTTTGGCAAAATCAATGTGTTTATTTTAGGAATGGAATACCACACTCCTACCATCAATGACATCTCTCTTCTATAAGAGTCCTGCATTATTAAATAGCAAACCCCTCAGACTTTAGGAGAGACTCTGTTACTACAGAAATCTGGGGCATAATTGCTCCAGGAGGCAGCCACTCAACCTAAATCATTCAAATACCAATTAGGACCACCCTCTGGTTCAGGCAGATTTAAAAAGCATCAACCCAAGTTGTACATCCTTCAATGAACACCTAGTTGCATCATCTAACATACGCTCTCCTGGTACCTAATAATATTCACTACTAAGAGTTTTGTTTTTGCTTTTCACCTAAAAGGTGACCATGATCATCAAAACCACAAAAGGAAGGTCTGGAGGAATATCCTCCTGCTCCATCATGAGTTTGCCTATTTTTATTTGTTTTGCTGATTATGAGAAATTGATAGATTGGAAACATCACAGTCACCATTGGTTGTTAATGATAATCAAAATTATAAAGTTGCTCATTATGAACTCAAATTTCTGCAAATAATCGTAATGTGTGTGTATACATATTTAAATACTTAGACACACATATAGTTTATATATGTATGTACACATATATGTTTATTTTTTTGTTTGTGTTCATTGTTTACTCCAGGTACATTTAATGTCTTTGTCACAGGAAGGCTGTCAATATAAAATTCTTCTTATATGTGAAAACTCAAAAATATCCCATACTGAGTAGCATGATAGAATAGCTCTGAAAAGAAACAGTCCAACATTTATTAACAAGTTTCTTCCTGAATTTTCTTAAATTAAAAAAACAAACAAACACAAGAAAGTTTGCTTGCACTTAAATTGCCATTTTCTGTTTTAATTTTGTTAACATGTCTTTCATTGCATTTATGAATAGGCATAGATAGTATATATACATAGAACCAACACTGGAGGGTGGCCGTTTGTCTTGCTTCCGTGCGGTGAGTGAGTTCTATTACTTGGCATAGTCACCGCTCCCTCAACCAATAGCTTCATTTAATTTTCAGTATCTCTGCAAATGGATCTCGGAATCACACAATTAAGTCAGTTCTAGAAAACTTGGAACTGTATTTTAAGCAACCATCTTGCTTTCATGCCCACGGGCTCTCAGCTCTTGAGGGTAGAGACCAGGCATGGCTTGTCTTTGTGCATCTAGCACAGGGCCTGCCCAGAGCAGGTGCTCAGCAGATGCTTGCTGAGCAGAACTGTCTTCAATGACCTAATGGAAAAGGAGAACGGCATTTCTTGACTGACCTGACTGCTCCAAATAGAAATGAATTCAGCCTTCCATGGAATATATATACACTTAAACTCCCAAGTGTAGACCAGTGTACTTTCGTGAGCACAGTTTCTGGCAGGTAACATGGTAGGTTATTACCCTCATCCACAGGCTCAATCCCATCTCGACTTCTGAACATCTTGAACCAAGTGCTCTCTCCTCTCATCATGTAACAAACAGGTCCACGTGTAGTTATTTTTGGCCAAAGGATGATATTTAAAATATTGATACTCTACATAAGATTTTTAATGAAATGGTGTTCATCAAAGTGGTTTGTGATGATTCGCTTTCTATGGCTCTTCTTTAAGGATGGATGGCAATTTCTTGGGAAGAGCATAAGAGTTCTCTTTCACAACCAAACTTTTTCCTTTTTAACACACAAAATGCTTAGAACTATTTTGAGTTTTTAAAAATTGCTGGTTGTTTCCCATTTCTCTACATGGTTTGTTTTCTTCTAAGTTTTATCCCCAAAGATTTGAATTGATTTTTTAATTGTTATTCACATTTCTTAACAGCAGTCTTTAATAGAAGTCTTGAGAAAGATGGTTAACTCTGCTCAGGTAGAACAGGATAGTTAATTTTCAACTTATAGTATTTATAATTTATGGCAATTATAAATATTAGGAGAGTTTTTATGGCTGTGTCATAGTTTCCTAGAGTTACAGAATTGGTAAGACTTACGTGATATATAAATGTGTGACTTATTACACATCCTAATAGCAACCATGTAATAAACAACAACAATGTAAACAGCTTCTCCTTGCAACAGAGGGTCATTAGAAAAAGTAATGTATTCCAGGATCTGAAGAGTATCCCTTGCCCCTCAAGAAAGTGTTAAGTCCTGGTCCCATCCATAACGCACACAAAAACCCTCAAAAATCAACTTCTCATTAAACATTCCCCCCAAAAAGTTTATAAAAATACAGAAGTAATATTCTCACGAAAAAAGCGAAGTCTGAGTTGAGAGAGGAAGTATCAAGTACATGCACAAAGCTTTCATTTCACCCGTATATGAATGGCTCTCGAGAAAGACACGTGAGAAAACCACCAACTACTTAACACCCGTCTTCTGGCACTAGGGGCAGGGGAGGAGGAAATAAATAGTTCATCAGGTGAATCCTCTGTCCCATAGTCCACTCATGGAGTCCCATGGTGTCACAGGCAGTAAACGTCCAAATATCTTTACAGGTAACTTCCTGAGAGTTGCACTGTTCCTCGGAGTTTCTCATCTTGCTCCTCCTGGATGCCAGCATTATTGCCTTCAGTGTCCCCAGGCTGAAGTCAGCCATCCTGCAATACAAATCAGAACCCGTTGAATGGCTGCGTCTCATTGAACAAAGTAAGTGTTCCTACAACGCTGTTCATTTGAGGGAACATTTCAAATGATCAGTACCTGTACTCTCAAGATTGAGAGGGAATTAAAAGAGCATGTACCCATCCAATACATGAAATCTTAAAGGCTGCCATACAGAGTCCAATAAGGATGCTTCCTATACCCCTCCCCGGAGGGTGCTCCACAAAGCGTTGGTCCCTGAAATACCTCTTGCTGAAGTTTCCCTCTTAGAAGTTCACAATATAAATTAGTATTAGGGCGCTGAGAAGATTTATAAGGGAAAAAGATATATGTCTATACTGGAATATATAGAAAAACATATTTAACTTTGTTTAGTCCAGCATTCCCTAATCCTTCTATATTTGCTAATTATTTTAGTTAGCAGAAGATAATAATAATAATAAAAAAAAGAAAGATTACAAGAAAATATACATATTCTTACTGCCAAGAGAGTAATCTTGACCTGTTCTTGCCATCCAAGGGCTCAGTGATCATTGGTGAAATAATATCCACCACCACAGAAAATGTTCAGACCCTTATATTTTTAAATGAATGTAAATCCTACGACTCCGCTGAAGGAAGAATACAGATTATAAACCCAAAGGCCTTCTTTGTCATTTTACTTATAGGACTCCAAGTATCATCTGAACCTAAGTAGTAAATGTGTAGATAATTGTTCTAAAGCCATTCATCGGTCTTGCCTGGCAGAAAAACTCTTAAATTTGAAAACTCCTTTGTCTGGTCTCACCCACTGGTATAATTTTGTCACATTTTTTTTCTGCTTGCCTTTTCCCTAAACAAGGGTAAATGTCTTCTCATTTGTTGTTGATTTGGATGAGGGTAAAACTGTACACCATATGCATTTTAGACAAGAACATACTGTCTTCTTTCATTAGCACAAATGAAATTAAGTACTAGGGGTCAGTGAGCATCTCTTTGTTTTATGAGATCAGAAAATAAAAAGGGTAAGGGAACACCTGAATATAGAAGTCCAATTTTTAAAGAATAAAGTACATAAAATAAAACACACACACAGAGATCTTTGTTTCTGTTTCCTTGCAGAGAATGAAGATCAGGAAATCTTAGGACGTGGCTGTCCTATGCCTAATAGGCTGTGAATTTTTCCGAGCCCAGAGCAAGGTTTAAGCAACAGAAGTGAGTTCTTAGCTTGTTTCACTATTTGTTGAACAAATACCTGTACTCATCTGAATTTAAAGATGGTCTCAGGTGGGCACCACCTCAGAGCTCTGGTTGGGCATCCTGCCACCCTACCCGTAGCTCTTCTCCTGAGATTTCACTGACAGCCACGCTGTCCGTGGACACAGCCTCTGCAGCTGAAGTGGCACGTGGGGAGACCAGCACAATTTCAGGCATCATCCAAAAATCGACCGCAGCGATTTCTTGCTATTTTTGGATCTCAGATCCCCTTACTACGCTCTCCCCCCAAATGGGCATATGTCCATATATAATTTTACATAAAATATAATGGACTTCCATGAACTCCCTGAAGCCTTTCTTGAGACCCCAAGTTAAGATCCCTTGCCCTAGGGTATCTTCCTCTGTCCCCAAATCATGAAATGGGTCTTACTCACTTTAATAGTCCCAGCTTGAACTATGTCGGGCCATTACAAGAAGTGGTGGATAGGACTGAAAGATTTGCCAAGAAGATTAGTAAGGGAAATATTAAAAATAAAGTTGGCACCCTGGCCGGTTTGGCTCAGTGGTTAGAGCGTCAGCCTACGGTCCAGAGAGACCCGGGTTCAGTTCCTGCTAAGGGCATGTACCTCAGTTGCAGTTTGTCCCTGGCCCTGGTTGGGTCATGCGGGTGGCAGCCACTCGATGTGTCCCTTTCACGTCGATGTTTCTCTCTCTCTCTCTTCCTCTCTCTCCATCCCACTCTGTCTGAACAAAAAATGAAAAAATGTCCTCGGATGAGGATAAAAAAATAATAAAGTTGGTATTGCAAATCTATAGGGACATAGAGTGAGTGAGTTGGTTGCCTAGGGCTGGGGTTGGTGGGGGCGATGGGACGTGACAGCTGATGGGTGCAGAGTTTCTCTTTGGAATGATATAAAAGTTCTCAAGTCAGACTGTAGTGACAGTCGTGCAATGTGGTGAATACACTTAGAACCATTGATGTATACACTTTAAGTGGGTAATTTTATAGTATGTAAATTATATCTGAATAAAGCTGTCTTTAAAAGCTGGTGTTATAAGAAAGGAAAACAATGGCTCTACACGAACTTACAATGAACTTCGTATGACTGAAGATAGGTGTGGCCTCTTTCTTAATTGTCTTCATTGACGAAGGAACTATAGGAATTTTGGTTAAAGGTCACTGGAATTTTTCTCATCATGGGAAACTATGGAGACTGCGTGCGTAGGTCTCCTGAAGAGGTGGAATGTGGAGGACCACCCACAAGACTAAAGAGCACTGGCTTGATCCAATAGGATCTCTGCCTAACCCAATGGCATTGCTTTGAAGCTTAGGAATATGACACCAATTTCCCCAAAATTCTTTTTCTTAATACACTATGAACTGTTGAGCAATAAATTTATCTAAGCCATCTTGAATCCATTTATATTTTCAGCTTGTTCTAACAAATTCCGTATGCTTCCCAATTTGTTTTGGATGATTTGAGTGTAATTTCTGTGTGGAGGCAGAGCCTGGTATAGTGAACCTTGAGGTCCCCATGTCTCTGATTCTCACCACTCCCTGAGGCTGTCTTACCCCTTTTTAAATAGGGGTAAGAGTGTTTACCTCTCCTTTATCTACCATCTTTCACTTCTACTGCCTCCTAATTCTAACTTGGAAACCTAAGCTGACTGTTTGAGTACACTGGTATAATGAATATACACAATAGTCATGGGTCCCCAGGACAGCATTCAGTACACAGACATGGCCACCTTCACTAAGTTTTAGGACTCATCCAGTTTATTTTTCCCCCTTTGTTTTTGTTTTTGTTTTTTTAGAGAGAGAGAGGAAGGGAGAGGGAGAGAAAGATAGAAACATCGATGAGAGAGAATATCGATTGGCCGCCTCCTGCATGCCCCCCACTGGGGATCAGGCCCACAACCTGGGCATGTGCCCTGACTGGGAATTGAACAGGTGACCTCTTGGTGCAGGGGTCGATGTTCAACCACTGAGCCACGCCAGCCGGGCTCATCCCGTTCATTTTTACACATGATGAAACTGAGATGCAAAGAGAAGACACCATTTTGCCCAGGGTCATATAACCAGCCAATGACAAGACTGAAAAAGTGATAGGTCTTGATTCCCAACCATTCTGCTTTCAAAACTACCAGGGTGCCTCCTAGACCTCCCGTAACACTTATCCCCACCCCTGTCAGCTTCTCATCTGATTTTATCTGTGGTTTGACCCAGCACTGACCTCCCCATCCTGTCTGGTCTCATCCACATCTGCTTCATCCTGGTCAGGTTCAAACTCGGTGCCCCGGTCCACAACATCCACGCCGGCCTGTACCCTGGGCTTCTCGTTTTCCCACTTGGCAAAGCCTTTGTCCTTTGCTGCTTTGTCATGGAACTTGGATTTCATTTTGGGAAAGGTGTGAGACCCTGTGTCCTCCCAGCCAGCCTCTGACCACACAGGCTCCGTCTGAGTGGCCTGGCTGGTGGTGGCCCGCTGCAGCCTCACGGAGATCTTGCGAGAGGAGCCTGTGACCAGTGTGATGGCTCTGCTGTCCAGGTCTTGGTGTCCAGCAGCAACACCAGGGAACTCAAATACCTCATCCTGCACTGGAATTGGAAAGATTATCGTGATTATTTGGCATCTGACTGCTTCATAGCAAACCATCCAAGTTGGTGCAAACAACAGGATTCTGACAGGTAAGGTCCCAGCGCAACATACCAGAGGCAGAATAAATGGGCTGCAGGTGATTGCGTGTTAGTGAGACCTGAAAGCAGAGAGAAGTGAGGGGGACTCAGGGCTGAAGCCACTGCTGCTCACCCTGGAGAAAGCCGTGGTGTTGATAATGACTCTGACCAGGTTTAGATCCAGAACCCACCCGCAGCCCAGGTGTGGGCAGGTGAGCAGAGGGAAATCGCCGTAGGAAAGAAAGTAGAAGGCGTTACCTGGGGGCAATGAGGGGCTTCCGGGCAGCGACCCATGACCACTGCCCAAGGAGGGGGCCCTGGCAAATCTCCTGCAGGCCAGAACCAGGAGGTCTTTGCACTGTTTGTGACAGTTGGCTCCACAATCTGAAAAATCCCAAAGTTATCACAAATGATTAGTGGGATCCGAGTGCCTCTGGTGCTGACTGAGCCTCCCGCTGAGCTGTTTGCCCTCCTCTCCCCCATCCTCAAATCTGTATTGCATCTCGGAGCCTGGCTCAGCCCGCAGTGTGCCTAGGAAGGAGCTGAATAGGGCCAGTGGGACACGCCGCCTTCCTGGAATTCCTCAAGTTCTCCTCTATTTGTTCAGATTGTTCTACACAAGTCGTCGGTGTGCGGGGGAGCCAACAAGCAGGGGCGAGGCTGAGTGGCCTTTGCCCCCGAGGAAATGCAAGTCACGGGGGTCTGAGGTTCTTTCCCAGGCCAAGGTGGCTTCCCCACAAAGGGGCCCCCTGAGCCGGGATGAGGGCGAGAAGCCGCAGCTTCGAGTATCCCCCAGGACCAACTACTGACGCTGACCACTTACAGGGAGGGGTCCCTCCATTCAGTATTTGTCTGCATGTTTATTCTCCATTTCCCAAAACCGTTTCCAGGGCAAGTGATTATATCTTCTGCCTCCTTTCTTTGCACAGAAACTAAAAGCAGAGTGGGCATATGCTCAATAAATGTGATCGAGATTTGACGATGGCATTGGAATGGCAGGCAGCAGATTCCGTGAAGTTTCCCGTTAGGGTGGTTTACTTAAAAAAGGAGAATATTAATTGCTACTTGGCATAGAACTTTTTGGCCACTTTGGAAGATAGCTAACAATTATGTCATCTGATGTGAGTCCTACGTGTCCCTTAGATTCACTGAGCAGATAGGATCATTTTTAATTAATTAATTAATTAATTAATTAAATTATTTATTTACGTATTATTTTTAGCCTCACCAGAGGACATTTTTCCATTTTTTGTTCATATAGAGTGGGAGGGAGAGAGAGAGAAACATCGATGTGAAAGGGACACATCGAGTGGCTGCCATCCACACGACCCAACCAGGGCTGGGGACAAACTGCAACCGAGGTACGTGCCCTTAGCGGGAACCAAACCCAGGTCTCTCTGGACTGCAGGCCAATGCTCTAACCACTGAGCAAAACGGCCAGGGCATATAGGATCATTTTAAAGACAATATTTCTTTCTTACTATCAGAGGACCTAATGATTTCCAATACCTATTTTCCTCCAAATGGTCTTGTTTCAAATGGTCTTGTAATGATATCATAGAAAGATCAAGTTGTAATGATACGTTCAGTCTATTTTAGTTTTTTCACTTTCTGTGCCTTTAAGAGAAAATACTGTATGTACAAAGATGATCTAAGAGTTTAACTAATACGCATTTTCCTAAGTGTGTGTGTGTGTGTGTGTGTGTGTGTGTGTGTGTTTTAGGGTACGGGGGACAGAAACCAGGATAGAACTACCGAGCAGTAAGATATTGCAGAGTTTTTGCTACTTGAAAGTAAAAGTCCAAGATACATGAAGACACTCATACAAAGAACTAAAGGGAAGAATCTAGTTTTGAGCCCTAAAAGGTGCTCCCACAGAGATTCGGGAAAGCACTCTGTTCATGCAAAATCAGGGCCGAATACTGAAAGGTGGCTGAAGAAAAAGGCATCACAAGGGACCAACAGGAATCTGAAGGCATCCTGTGATCAAGATGTTTCCTTTTGCAATTTTATTATATTTCTCAAGCGCATGATCAGATTCTTAAAAGAACTCATATAACGAGTCTACATGAAATATTCAACAATCTCTTAAATACCAAGAATGCGAAATAAGCATATGTGCACAAGCAGCACTTACTGGTCCTAAATGCCTAGTAATTTGCATGGGTATGGCTTTCATCACATACGTATTTATTCCGTTGTTTATAGCTTTTAATTGAATGGGGGAGCTCTGCAAATGAATTCATTGAAAGGGACAAAAGTAAGTTTTCAAGTTTCTCTTCTTTTCTCACCATCACCTGTGATTTAGGAGAGAAGGGAATAG